CCGTTTGGTTTTACCTCATTATTCGGCTATGTAATCTAGAGTTGTGGTGTTAATTATTATTTTTTTAAATGGATGGAGAGGTGAATGGGAAACTACTTAGTTTTGTGCATTGAAATCATGGTCCCAATCTCAAACCAATATTTTGTGCTTTCAGTAATAGGTGATGCTATGGAATCTCTTATAATTGAACATAGAATATCCATAAAACCTCGTTAATACATGTTAAAGTTGTCATTTCATCAAAAAGTTTAAGCTAGTAGGTTAGGGTTTAATATTCAGTCGATCCAATATGCTCCCTCACATGAAATTTGGATTTTATTTTTATTGTACAATAAAAATCCCCAACTCGGAATAAGATGAAAAGCCTGAGGCATGCCCTAGCACGGAGCGAGAATCAAGCCCGGGAAGCAAAGAAGCTCGTTAAAGACACGAGCAACCAACCCAAGCACAAGCATAGTGTGTGACAAGGACAGGACCCACCAGACAAAATCATCTCATCACGTATACTTTGCATGTAGCGACCAATAACACGCGGCAAGACACAATTTACACGTGTTCTCCATGCACCTTAGCCAATAGAAGACCTGCATAGACATCTATTGGCACAAGGGACACCATCATGAGCTACGACATAGGAGCATGTGAGCCTTTGACTGTCACACGATACCAACATCATGGTTGATGTACTAGTCATCATAGCATTCCCATGCCCTCTCTCTATATAAAAGTCGTCGTAGCCAAGAGAGGTGGGAGAAGACAGAGAGACACAAACATAGACATAAACATAGAGATTGAAACTGACAGACAGAGAGAGGAATTCCAAAGCCTTTCTCTCCGATCCCAAGGTCTTCGGCTGTCTAGTAGGCCAAGATATGTTTTCCAATTACCGGAAAACCCATCTTATTGTATCCCCAAATACATACAATCAAATAACATAACAGTGTACGTAGTCCTTGTTTTCTTTTCGATCAAACCACTTTAAAAACATCGGAACTTCACTCCAACTCCCCTACCGTTGATCGGGAGGCATATCATCGCCTTTGCCATTCATCGCACGCAAAACGGGACCCATATGCTGGTTCCAAGGAACCACACACCCATCCTGCTTGATTCTCCCAGGGTCAATCAAATAGCTCAGGTTGGTGAGTTTCTTCGTCCCGGTGCTCTAGCCGGTGCGGAAAATCACATCAACAATTTTTAATTTTATTTTCTTTTATCCGAATTTTAGACATTTGATTTTGATATCATGTTAAGTTTTATACATAGAAATCATCGTCCAAATCTCAACTGTATTGTGAACTTTAATTATTAGGTATTAGTATGCTGGGGTGGCAAATAAATAAAAATTATTTATATTTTACTTTAATATATATATTTATACTTTAAAAAAGGAATTATTCTTTGGTCTGGAGTGGCCATGGCCACCTCAGGCCAAATAATAGCTTTGCCCATGATTTTAGATCATTGTCATGATTCCTAGCAAAATTCATGTTATATTCTCTTATAAAATTTTTCTTTATCATTTAATACTGAAAATTTATATCAATACTTTTTTATATCTATTTATTATAATTTTATTATGTAATTAACTTTACTATTAAATTTATTTACATGAAAAAATGAATCTATAATTCATTTTTTTTAAATTACTATTTTATTAAATATAAAACCCACAATTTAAATTTTTGCCTTAGGCCTCAAATATCATTGAGCCTGCATTGGTTTAGATGGTGTAGTTTAGTTGGCGTGTTGCAAAATAATCCATGTTTCATAGTCATATTTATATAATCCAATTTAAAAGATGTGATGTAATTCAAGAAGAAAACATATTTGGATTTCAAGTGAAATTGTTTTGTAGCATTGATTGATAGGGGTGGGAAAAAAATATTGGAAACCGAACCAAAAGTAAACGGAAAAGCGGTTTTTTTTTAAACCAGTTTGGTTTCAGTTCACAAATTTGACTGAACCGTTTTTTCGGTTCGATTATCGGTTCACTCATTTTGACAACCGATTAACTAGAACCGAACCGGTTAGTCAGATTTTTTTTAATAAAATTCCCAAATCCAAATTTTATATTCCTCTTATACATTATAACAATTCAAATCCTAAACCCTAACTCTATTAGTCCCGCAGCCTCACTCGCACTCGAAACCGTAGTCCCGCACCTGCACCACCGTCCGCCTTTCACTTCAGTCTCTTCTTCACTCCTCGTCGTCATTGTCTCCACTCTTCACTTTAGCTTCTTCAAGCTATGAGTAACCTCTTGCACCACCGTTTGTTGCTCCATCGCATTTGCTTGCCTCAGACGTCGCAAAGCAGCCCCATCGTGCGCTTGTTCGCGCGATCCAGCCCGCGATCTCGGGACCTTCGCCATCCCTCTTGATCCCAAGACGTGTTGCCGATTCGTTTGTATTGTGCGTTTGATTGGTGCTTGTACGCTGTGGTTTGTGGAGTCTTGCGGCGACCTAGCCGCCCATGGTGGCAGGGGTGTTCCCACTCTTTTACCTTGTGATCTTGCTTTATGTATCTGGGTTTACGTTGTTTTGGATCTGTGTTTGGTCTGCTCCAAAAGCTGTGATTTTGTGATCAAGATCTGGTTTTTGTGTTCATTCGAGCCTTGATCATGTTCATATCATTGGTTTTGATGATTTATAGTTTCCAGATTAAGTAGCTGAGGTTTGTGTTCAAACTGCGTTACTAGACCCGGTGATTTAATTAACAGATTTTATAATTTTTCTCCAGCGATCCATATATATATATATATATTATTTGTTCTCTTTATTTAAAACCAGTTCAAAAGCAGTTAATTAGCTTTCTAAACCAGTTATTCAGTTCGGTTTAAAAGCGATTTAAACAGTTAATCGGTTCGATTTTGATTTGGATTTTTACTTGAATCGATTTTTCGGATTGGTTAAAAAATGAACCGGTTTGATCCGGTTAACTGGTTTTGCACACTGCTATGGATTGATGTTTGTGAGTGTGAATGTGAATGTGAATGTGAATTTGAATGAATCTCAGTTACTTTCCCTCCATGAAAGAGAAAACAAGTGAAAGGGAGGGAAAGATTGAAGTAATTGTACTTGAAATAGTACTGGTTTCCCACGTGAGTTACTGAAACTTTCTCTAGCTTTGCCTGCAAAGAAGTGACACATTGTTTGTTTGATGCAACTCAAATATAAATTTTCTATTAGAATATTATTATATAAGCATATCATGTCAACTCTCTCTCTCAGTTTCTTTTTTGAATTTTTCTTTTGCTTGGCCCCATCCATCTTAACTCAAAACTAGTATTATTTTTTATTTTCACAAATGTTGATTTAGTTTTCTAAACTTGATTTGATGGTAACATGTGATATACACATCATGTGTTATAGATTGGAAAGGGATAAGTATGTAAACCTCCCTAAATTTACCCTTATTTTAAAAAGTCCCTATCCGCAGTTTGGAACATAAATGTCATATCGTCTATCATATTATTTATCAAAAACTTGATTCGAAATTTGTTCGAGTAGTATCTAGTATAAGATACTTTTTTAAAAATAATAATAATTAAATAATACAAATTTTAAAAATTTTAAAAAAATTAATATCATTTCTAAGATTAATTAACAATTTTATAATATTATTAACTTTAAATTATGGTATTATATAATTAAAATTAATCACAAAATTAAGAATTTATATCATTTCATTTCAACTATTTATATCATTTCTAAAATCAATATCAATATTTCTACTTGCGTTATTATTATTATGCAAAATGAGAACACATCTTCCTCTTCATTTTTTCTATACGAAATGGGTAAATTTGGACGGATTTTAGTGAATTGGGTGACTTAGATTCGATCTAAAATTTTTTTTGGTTCAAATTAATAAAATCGTATCGATATTTTTATAGATATAAACCAATATATATTGTATTGTAGAATACATATTAACGTATCGAAAAGTTTAAGATATACTCTCTGATACGTATCATTGATGACCCATATCGAATCGTATCATAAGATATGTATCATATATTATAGGATACTAATAACCATGAAGATGAATAAATAATATTATCTAATAAAATTTGGCTTTTTAGATAATTTACAAACGTCTAAAATACTCTTTTATCTTTCATTAAATGATTAACAGGTAAATAAAATGACTCTGCCTCATACAAACACCAAAGGAATTGATTTTACTCTCTTCGTTTTGGGGACAGTTTCTTGGATGGTTATAAATTAATTTGGTAATTTTCACTGAGATTCAAAATTTGATAATGATTGAAAATTGAAAAGACTGAAAGAAAGGGACAAAAACAACAGTTTTATTTTACTAACTAGAATACTGTTGTTATGCATTCAGTAGTAATTTTGATGTGGGATCCAGCTACAATAAATAATTATTTATTAAGGATTTTTCACGTGACCGCTGCTCTTGTTTCATCAAAACACTATTTGCTATTGTCTCCTCACAAACCCCACTTCTTTTATTCTCTTTTCACCTTTATTATGTATTGAAAACTATATTATGTGGGTTAATGTTAAAATTTTGTATTTTAATTTTTCTCAATTAAAAAAATACTTTGATTTTGTGTTTTTTAAATTTGAAAAATGAATTTATTATCATTTTTTAGAAATAGTATTCACAATGAATACAATAAAAACATGTTTTTTTTTTATTATAAATATGAAATAATTAATAAAACGGAAAATGGTAACATCGATTTTTTTTTTTGTTATTTTCTTTTAAAATTTTTATGATTTTCCATTTTCTTGTTTTAGGAAAAAGAAATGATAATTGTAGACTAAATTATCCGTATTAGTTGAACCGTTAAGGTAGACGTGAAGGGGTCTAGACAGCCCGATCATTACAAAAAAATAAAAATAAACAATAGTTGCACTCAATCCTTAATTAATAATTAATTGAATTCTCTTCTATAAAACCCATCAAAACAACAATATAATATGTAAATCACTAACATAAAAATAACATGGATAAAGTCATATTAATTAATTATGAAATGTAAAGAAAGAAAGGACAAGCAAAGCAACAATAGAAATAATTAATATTGAATTTGAAAGTTGATCAGAACCACTGGGAGCTGCTTCAGATTTGTTGAATGGATGAACCAAAGAACCATTTTTGTTGCTTCCACAAACACTAATCCCAATTCCAATCTTGACACTATAAGCCTCAGTAGGACTCAAACAAAGACCAGGGTTTCCAGTCAGCTCCAAATTTCTGCCTAATCTGTTTAAGAAAGTTGCATTGAAAGGAACAACACCATCCAACAAATTCCTGCTGAGATTCAAGTGATAAATGTGAGAGAGAGTGGCAAAACCAACTGGAATTTCACCTGTTAATCTGTTGTTTTCCAGAGATAAAGAGCTTAAATTTTTAAGCTGTGAAAAGCTTGGTGGGATTGAACCTGAATACCCTGAACTTACAAGTCTCAGTTCTTGTAACTTCACTAGTTTACCAAACTCTATAGGCAGAGGTATAAACATGGGATTATTATCCATAATGAAATATTGCAAGCTTTGTAACTTTGCCAAACCTTTTGGAAATCTTCCTCTCAATTTGTTGTTACTCAAAGCCAAAAAAACCAATGAACCCAGTTGCTCAATGCTGTCAGGGATGCTACCACTAACCAAATTTGAACTCAAATCAAGCTTTTGAAGCATACCCAGTTGGCCAATTGTGATCGGGATTGAGCCAGAAAGTGAGTTGTAGCTGAGATCAAGCCCTACAAGATTTTTGAGATTCCCCACTTGGACTGGTATAGTACCTGTCACCAAATTATAGCTCAAGTCAAGGTGTAACAAAGAATCCAAGCTGAAAATTTTAACAGGGATTGAGCCAATTAGGCGGTTTTGTGATAATGTAAGGATTTGTAAGGTCTTGAAAGAAGAAAGTTGAGGTGGGATTGGACCAACAAGTGAAGGGTTTGATCTGAGGCTGAGTTGTTGAAGTGAAGAGTTGGAGTTTTGTGAAAAAGAGAGGGTGGTTTGAGTGTGAGTGAAACAATTGAAGAAGAAGAGAGATTGAAGATAAGGAAGAGAAAAGATTTGAGAAGGGAAAGTGGCAGTGTACTTGCAAGATGGGTTTGGTTTGGAGCCAAAATGAAGCTTGGAGACATGGAGGAAACCATCTTTGCCTGGTTTACATTCAATTCCAGGCCAAGAAGAGGAAGGTTGACAAGGGTTGGGGAAAGAAACTCTCCAGGTGAAGTCATTGGACATGGAATCCATGATTTTGAAAAGGGTATCAGCCTCATCAGGTGGAAGCATATTATTGATGTTTGAATGGAGAGAAATGGAGGAGGAGGGGGAGGAGGAAGAAGAAGAAGAAGAAAGCAGGAGAAGGAAGAGAAGGAAGATCAAGGAAGAACACATTGTGAAGATGAGTTTTTCATTAGTATTCCGAGTCTCAATCCATGAGAATAAAGAGAGTTGGGTAAAGAAGTGATTGAAGTGATATGTGGGGTAGGTTCCTGACATTTTAAGGCTCACTCAGGATTTTCTTCTGATTCTGCTTTTATCATAGTAAATATAAAATTTTATTTACAAATTTGTTTTTTTATTTTAAATAATTAAAATATATTATGTCTCAAAATAGTAGAGCTGTATATTTGGGATCAGACCCAAAAACTCAGCTCTAAAACTCGATCCTAGGACCGGTCCTTGAGAGGACCAGATCTAGAAGGTCTGATCCCGAAATGAGACCAGGCCTAAGGAGGAGGGCCCGGGCCCTCCACTGGGCCCTCCTCCAAGGCCCAGGCCTAGGATTAGAGCCAAGCCTAGGCCCAAATTTTTTTGTATTTTTTCAATGTAGTCCCCTGTCAAATTACATAAAATCTCCTGTTAATTTTAAAATAAATATAAATTATGAGGGCCAAAAAAAATTTTACAAAATTTATAAAAAAAAAATCTTCTAGATCTAAAAAATTTATAAAATTTATCCTTAAAAAATACTAAAAACCTCCTATAAAATTTCGTTTTGCCCCTAAAATATAAAAAAAATTGAAGAGGGAAAATAAAATTATCCAAGGCCCATGGGACCGGTCTTGGGCCCATGAGACCAGTCCTCTGGTTTTTCTCATGGGCCTGGGACTGAGTGAGTCCCAAATGGACTAGTCCCAAACAGGCCCAGGCCTGAGCCTGCAAGGGACCGATCCGTTGTCCACCTCTACAAAATAGTATTTCAAAAATGTGAAAATAAAAATATATTCGACAAGGATTATTTGAAAATACAAAAAAAAGGTAATAAATAATAAAAAATTTATTATCTACACAACAAATCTCTCCAAATTATTATTTATTTCGAAAAGTTTATTTTTAAATATGTCAATATTAAATACCGTTTATAATTTTATAATAAAATCTTGATTTGAAACTAAAATTTCTTGTTTCTAAAGGAAATTTTTTCTCTTACTAGTAAATTGTGGTGGGGAAGCAATGCTTTAGCTCTAGTTTTAAATGCTTAAAACAATTTTCACTTTTCGCAATTAGTATCAAGGCATTCCATTGTTTCTTAAGATTTGGAAAAAAGAAATGAATAAGTGGTCAATTAAAAGGAGTCAAATTAATAGGAAAATGATTTGAAGTCACAACTGGAGAAGCAGAAGTTAAGTGAATGCATGACTTGGGCCATCTACTTAAAGAAACTTAATTGTCCATTTTCAGCCTCAAATGAGGTGGATTTGGAAATACTTGTTGTGTGTGATTTTTTCATCAAGCTCGGAGTATTGCAAGGTTATAGCTCAATGTAGGACCAGCTCGACTCTATTGATTGTCCGACCCAGTATAAGCTCATTGAGTTATAGTTTGACCTAGCACAAGCTAGTCGTGACCAATCTTCGACAATTGTTCAACTAATTCACGGATAACTTCAAATCCCGGATCTCGGGAAAGATCAAATCAATAGCAATCTTTGCGCAATCATAGTGCTCAATTGCAAGAATATCGGAGTGCATTTCAAACTTAATTGTACCCTTATTTTCGCTCTTTCCTTTGTATAAACTTTGTATATAAACCTCTCCAATGATAAGAAAGAGGTTAGCAAATTATTCTAGGATTGTCATTACAAGCTCTCACAGCAAACACAATAATAGTGGAGGTAGGCTCAAGAGTTCAACTCGTCGAAAACTTTAAAAATCTCTTTGCCATTTACTTTACTGCATTGATTATTTATTCACGGCGGTTATCTATAATCACGATACATCAGTTTGATCCGATTAGGTCGATCGGATCACTCTAGTTCGTAAATTCTTGCATCAAACATTTTGGCGCTAGAAAGAGAGCCTCTGCCAAAATCCCAAAATTCTGGTAAGCAACCCAGTGACTCGATCACTCCAGGCCCACAATAGTGCGTACAAGATCGAAAACCACCACTTGAAACCAGACAATGTGGAGACACTGTAACGCCCCTGAGGTACATAGTTAAGTTATGGTGTATTGTTTAAATGTTTATTGTTTTGCTTTTATTTGGGTATATATTGTTAATATTGGTTGGTTGGCCTTAGTTGAATTTTTGTTAAAGTTATTTGAGAAAATGTAGAGAAAATCCCTAACTTTCATTAGGGGGTAAAATGGTCTTTTCACTCAAAATTAGTTGAAATTATGGGGAGTGAAAAGAGATAGAATTTCATAGAGAATGCATTAAAAATGAGGGCATTATGGTCATTGACTAAGGGACATAGATGGAATTTCAAAGAAGAATAAGGGATAATGGGAAAGGGTTATAAACTAAAGTGTAAGGGTTTGAAACCCTTATTTTCTTCATTCCACCGCCACACTCTCCCCCATTTTCTCTCAAATTTTCATTCAATCCTCAAGGATTTGAGGGCTTTTAAGGGGTTTTTCATAGGGCTTTGATTCTAGGTATCAAAAGGTAAGGATTCATACTCTTTATCTATGATTTATTTGTGTAAAGATTGAGTTCTTATAAAGTTTGCTTAGGGTTAAGAGAATATTGGAATCCAACAAGAGTAGAGAGTTAGGAGAGACTACTCAAGCACAAGGTAAGTAAATTCCACTCAAAATCCAACTCAAGCTAAAATTTAAGAATTCAAGTGAGTGAGTAGATTTATTTAAATATGCATTGTTGTGATTATTGAGAAATTGAGATGAGTATGATGTATTATGCTTATGTTGGATATTTGAAATGAGAAGTATATGATGATTTGATGATGGGTTGAAATTGGAAGAATTAGAGAAATTTTTTTGGAAGTGTGTTTGCCATGTAGGTATGTGATGCTACAAGAGAGTTTTTCTCTCATTTGGATGGTTTGCCATGGGTATGTGATGCTACAAGAGAGTTTTTCTCTCATTTTGGATGGTTTGAGAACTAATAGAATGATAATTGAATTAGGGTTTGTTTATGCATTGAGTTGTTTGAGAAATGCCTAAGTGAAATCTGCCCTGTCACTGCCGTGAATTTCTAGGTAATTTTGGGTGACTTCACGTTTGAACTGGGCTGAGACCAAAAACATAAAGTTGTAGCCCTGTCTCTAAGCTTTAAAACGAGACCAAAATCGTCAGATCCGAGATGTAATACTCAAGTTATGCTCTTGAGTGTGACCTGCGCAGAATGGCAGTTTTGAGCAATAGCATTTCAAAAGTGCATAAGTAAGAAACTTTAAGCATGAACCACCTTATGCATTAATTGTGCATGAGAAGGTAGTTTGAGAAAGAGTAAAGAACTTTGTGAATGGGCTACTCTAAAAGTAAAGAGAATGAGAAAATCTAAGAATGGTTGGTGCTTTGTGAACTCCAACCGGAAGTTACGAAAAGTGGGTTGGTGCTTTGTGAACTCCAACCGGAAGTCACGAAGAGTGGGTTGGTGCTTTGTGAACTCCACCCGGCCGTGCCTCCGGTAAGATGAGCCGTGACATTCAAGTGAGAAAGAATGAGAAAATATGAGGAAAGAATAAAGGAGAGAAGAGTAGAAGTCACGAAGAGTGGGTGGGTGCTTTGTGATCTCCACTCAGCCGTGCCTCCGGTAAGATGAGGCCGTGACATACAACAGAAAGTTAATAGAAAAGAGCTATGTGAAAGAGAAACAGAAAGAGAAAATAAATGAGATGAGAAGAGTGTAAGGAAAGAATTAAGAGAAAGAGTTACGGGGATAGACGAGTAGAGGATTTACTTACTGAGCATTATTTTGTGCTCACCCCATTGTTTTTCTTTGTGTTTGCAGGATCTAGGTGAGGACGCGGTCGGATGGGCATCGGCAAGCGAGGAGTAATAGCTACACTGTCCACTATTTTTGATAACTTTTACTTATGATGCCTTACTTTGTATAAAGAAAGATTAAATGTATTAAAAGAAAAATTTTGGGCCCATTTACTTTTGCTAATATAAATATATTTACTTGATGTATTTCTATACGTATCCTAGTATGAAGCAGTTATTACAACCACCCACCAAGAGGTGTAACAGGACGTTGTTGGGCATCGACCACCAATCCCACTGACTCAACAAACTGTGAATAACTAGGGAACAGGGGCGTCAAACCCCGAGAATGGCCAACTGGTGGAAATGATCAGAACAATGGTTGCATAGGCGATGCAATAGAACATGACTAAGTTGAGAAATCAACAACTAATCACACAAAATCTTGACCAGCCACGCTTCACCGATATCACCCTAATAGGTTGAAATTCAGCTGACGACCAGTTTGGCTCATCAGCACCAAGGGGTGATTGACACCCCCGACGTCACATAGCACACTCCGCTCACGAGCGTGAGTCCCACGAGCAAACTAACCCCGGGAGATGACCAGGGAAACAGCCAATTAGGGAAAGCGAAGGTAATTGTCGCCCACGAGATGCTCGACCTGCTCGGTAGTATCCCTAGGGTCAGCGTGCCGGTTTTAACCCATGCCTAAGAGAAGCTCAATCCTCGTAAGCTTGTGAGACAAGTCATGTGCGCTAATCTGGCAATGACCGACATTCTGGTTATAACCAACGTCGTGAGCAACACACCGATGAGCATGATATCACCTACCAGCCTAGCCATCATGATTCAACTTCGCGCATCAATGCGCATAACGGAGGGGGCTCACAAGCAACAGATTTAAGAACTCACTTGCTTGAGGTAATGTTGAATAGAGCCAACTAGGGCAATCACAACGAAGACTTAGATCGGCTACAGAAAATGCTCGATGATCTAAGAGTCTACCAGAACAATGCGGCAGAAGAAATAGTGAGCTCTCCCTTCATAAAGGAAGTTCGCCAAGCCCCACTTCCACAAGAATTCAAGGCACCAAAAAGCAAGTTCGACGAGAAAGGAGATCCCAGAGACCACCTTAACACTTTCAATGACCTGATAGAGCTGCACTAAGCCTGTGACTTAGCAAAGTGCCACTGCTTTGCAGTCACATTGGTAGGGGA